AACTTCAGCCACAAAAATAAACACATTATTCATCAATTATGTAGCTAAAGACTTGAATGTAAAATACCCTTGTCAAGCATCCTCATTCTAAAAAAAATCCATTGCTTTCTTGAATCGGTTTCCCATTTCATCGTAGAAAAAGGAACTACAACAAAAATTATATTAAAATCCCATACAACATGGTTTGTTAGCTCATAGATGATAGAATGTAACGATAAATGATTGATCTCTTGTAAAAAAGGAAAAAAAATCAACGTATAAATAGAAATTTGATTGCATAGTGTTATTCTTTTGTCATAGAGTCTATTCGTATATTTTTATTCCTTTCCAAAGTTCTACAGAGTAATCAAACTAAGCATCTTTATTGTTTTTAATACGCTAAATAAGTATGTTAGTAATACAAATAATTTTGGAATAAAATGTCAATTTACATGAAATATATACATTTAATCAACAACATACAATTTTATATTTGATATCTAATTTATTTTATCTTGTTTTATGTGATGTTAGGAAGGGTTTTTTTTTTTAAATTCTGTTGCTATTTCATCTTTTTTTATTGATATAGTTTCTATATTTAAAATAATGATTATCATCTCGAATTAATAACTTATTTTTCACAAGTATATTCTACCAACCTCAATAAATTAATTTTTTTTCACCAATTTTTAATGCCATTTTAACGTGTTAATTTTTAGAATATTTATTTTCAATATTAGTATATTAAAAAAATATTAAAAAATTTACTTGAAACAAGGAATAAATAATTTTTTAAATTTTTTCAAAAATACTTTTAAAATAGAAAAACAAAAAGCTTTTAATAATTACTTAGTGATTAAAAACAGTCCAAAATCTAATCAACTCACTCTATTTCTTTGTTTTTTTTTCTTTAAAGATACATGGTGGTTAAATAATGTCAAACGTTGATGGGGTCAACATCTACCTTTAGGGTTCCAAAAGGTTTCTCGAATGTGCAAAAATCATTTTCAAGGCACAAGATTTCAGCCAACAAAGCAACCTACCCATTGTTTCTTTCTTTCTTCTTTCTTCTTTCATTTTCTGAATGATCATGGCAAGATACCTTCATCCAGATAACAACAATTCTAAACACATGCTTGAGAGAAAAAAGCACCCACGTAATATCTTCTTGTACGCCCGATGGTGAGTAGGAATCATATTATTTAACGAGGTTTGACAAAATTGCCTCTTCTCCTCCCATTTTTCATGACAAGATTAGCGGAAAGAGTGGGATGATGCTCTTGTTTTGTCGGTAAATTATTTGATAAATGTTTTGAAAATGTTTGTATTCTTGTTGGATACATACATTTGTCAATTAAAACTAAGTCACCATCTCATTTGAAGAAAGTTCCATCGATCCTAGCTTGCTTTCTTGTCCCTTATTTTTTCATCATTATCATGTTATATTACAATCGCTAAAATGGATTTTCATTGTTTAATTTAAAATAAGCTAGTTTGTCTAGAATAAAACAAAGTATAAACATTCCTACTTGACAAAGTTTTAGCAAAATGGGGGGGGCATGATTAATATTTTTTATTTTATTTTCTTTTCCTAGGCCGCAAGACTAGAGGCTACAGGTTTCAAGTTGGCCCAGACGAATCTCTATGAGGTAATGGAAGCTAGTTGTGGCTTGAATTTACACGAAATCAATGAGCCCAACCACATGTAATTATAGAGATGGTTACCGTCTTGAAAAAAAAAAAAAACAAGAAGTAAAGATAATAAAGGGAATATCTTCTCTTATACCTTTTATTTTAAAAATATATACATTTATTTTTTACGAGTTTTAAAATTCCAGATGTTTAACATAGTAGACAATTAATTAATATTTTAATTTAAGTAATTTGATTCATTATTTATAGTCAAAGTTTCTAGTGATTTAATATAAAAGACTTAATATAAAAGACCTAAAAAGTTAGTAAGTGATAAAAAATAACATATGGCAAGGCAAATGACCAATAACTATGGTAGTGCCTAGTAAGGCGAGTAAAGGTAGATAGTACTTATAAGATATCTCATTTGATAGATGTAGAGACTCTTTAATGGTAAAATCAGTAACTCTGAAAATATATATGCTAAAAATATTGAGAATAAAAAGATTATAAACTTTTAATTTGAATGATTTATGATATATTTATAGGCCATAAATTTTTTTTTTTTTATGGAGAGGAGGAACTTGAGTATAATTTCACCCTTATAATATTTTGAGCTGTATTCTAATCAAAATAATATATATTGGACCAGTATAAAATACCGAGAAACCTGCCTGGGGTCTAGGAAATCTTTTTTACTAGTGTTGGGCTTGAACAAGGTACCCAAGCCTATTAGAGATGAAAATGAATCTAGGTGTGTTACTTGAATCCAAATATACTGAGCTCAATCATGACACCTTAAACCCATTAAATATAAAAATGGGTTTGAGCGTTCTGCCTGAACCTAAAAATATTGGGCTTCGAGCATGATAGCTTGAGCCCATAAGGTTGTTATGGGGCATGCCCGACACCCTTGGTGGTGGGATGCATACCCGACACCAGCTGGGTATACGCTCTGCATGGGATGCACTAAGCACTCGTATGCCTATGTGGGGAGCGTGGGCTAGGACTACTTGCTCTCTTGGGTTAGTAAGGTCATTATAGTTATTTAGACTCATTTTTGTGAAAATATAGTCCTTAGAGAGTTAAATTGTTTAATGCTCGTTTAGATAAGGAAAAGCTTCTCCATTTATGGGAGTTTTACTTATTCTCTTAGGTATGCTCATATATAAATTTTCTCTTAGTTCTTTATTTATTAGAATCTTAGGAGCCCGAGGAGTTTGATAAGGAACAATTGTTATGGTAATTGATGTTTATTTCAAGATAGCCATGTGTAGAGTATTGTTTCTATATATGAGTATCACAATAATATGAGTAACTCCTTAAAGGACTCTAAAGATTACCATTATGTTTAATCTCCCTCAAATAATATAATTATCTATGAGTTTGATGTAACTAATAACTATAGTGCCTTTTGGATTCAAACATGCTGGGTTCAAGAGTGATAACTTGAACTTATGAGTGCGTTAGGATACATGTCTATACTAGTTGAGCATGTGCCCATGAGCCTAAGTAGGGAGTATGGGCTGTGTTTATTTGCCCGAGGACATATTCCGAGTGTATATAGACTGGGAATACCATGCTTGAATCCATATTTATTAGATTTTTTTGAGTTTTTTTAGAGGATGTCTCTAAGTTTATTTTAAAGAATTTTTCAGGTTCATTTTATTTGGATCCATTAATTTTAAAATTATTATAATAACAAATTTATTTTATATTTATTTTCATATCTCCAACCAAATATGTTTTTGTTAACACTAATTAAACACAACATTAAAATATTAAAAGTATTGGAAAACCTCTTAAATGATAATAATTTTTTTTATTTTAATGGTAATTAATGAATTTTCATGGTCATTATATATATATATATCATCCCTTATAGTTCTTAAAGCTGTATCTATTTCACATAATCACTTGAAATCTTTACATTTGATTAGGTATCATGTCATTGCTATATACATGGAAGCTAAGTTTGTGGTACATGGAAGCTAAGTTTTCTTTAATAATGGTGTTAATTATCCTAATTTGAAGGTAAAAATATTGGTGGATGAGTTGGAAAATAATAGCTAGAATACAAGGGGTGTGTAAAAAAATTAAAAAACTGATTAAATTGAGAAAATAAAAAAAATAATTAAAAAAATCAAATCATGAAAATAACCAATTAAACAAATTAGAATTTTTAAAAAATTAATCGGGTTAGTTCGGTTTCAATTTTATAAGCATAAAGCCAAGAAAACCAAACTGAACCCAAATTAAAAAAACAAAACCATAAAAAAACTGACCTAAACTAAAAAAATAGTTTTTATTTTAAAATTAACACATAAAAACTGAAACTAGTCAATTTAAATTGATTTTGTTTTTTTTTTAATTATTTTAATTATTTTTTTAATAAAAACCAAACTAAATATTCAGTATGTATTTATCAGAATAACATTGTCAACACAATTGTGTTAGATAACTCTCAAAGTCTATTAGTAATTTAAACTTTTATGTGTTTTTATAAAAAAAAATTGGGAGAAAACAATTCTCAATAAATGATAACATAAAAAAATCAGTTTAATAAATTTTAATACATACACATTAAAATCATTTTTGGATTTCTTAGGAACTTGTAATTCAAACGGCAAGAAGATTCAAGAGTTTATGGTATATTGGGAATAATGGTAAGAAATAATTCACAAACTCATATTCTTGACATAACTTGCTGTAATTTGACTTTCTTGCATAACAATAACAATTACAGTCAACGCTAGTAAAAGAAGTAAAACATATTCTTGAAGTAGAGAAAGCAAAACTTTAAGATATTAATAATTATTCAACGAGAGAAAGTAAAAACAAAGTTTTCATTAATTCTTATTTAAATTTTAATTAATGCAATCTCTTTTATTGTTATAATTTTTATTTCACCATTTTTAAAAAGTATTTATGTTTTAGTTTTTTTTTTCACAATGCTTCAAAAATATTATTGTAATTTATGTTTATTTTTCACTTAATATTTTATGTAAATAAATTATGTTTATATAATGTATTTATGAAAATTATATATATAGATTTCATTTTAATTTATTTTATTAAGTATAATTTCATAATATTTTAAAACACATCTAATATTTTTTTTTTTACTTTATACAAATTAACTTAAAAGGATACAGTTTGCCACAGTGAGTGTTATAGGACTAATAAAATTTCATTTAAAACAAGTCCATCTGAGGAGCAAGTAGCAACTCCACACAGCGAACATAAATATACGGGCGTGGACAATTTGTTCCGGGCCTCCGATGTACGGGCCTATAATATTTGCATGGCCCAACAACCAGCTGGAGCCCAACACAAACATCTGGAGCGGACCGCTCCTCATAATATAAAAGCATTAACGAACAAGCAGGGTTTTAGCAAATCCTTAAAACCCTAAAAACATGAAGACGGTGACCGGCAAAATCACAGATTCAGCACCGGTGTCAATCTCCAAAGCGGCTTCTATACTCTCCAAGTTCGTATCCTCTGAGAACGGCGCTTCCCAGGCCTTAAACGCTTACCTTCGTCGCGCCACCGCCGCTTTCGATGAGCTGTCACGGCTTCACTCAAAATCCGAACGACGGAAACACGAAAAGGATTCATCTTTGATTCGGAGTGTGGAGGCGAGTCAATCCGAGTTAGTGAATAATAGTGAGCAGATGTTGAAGAAGGAGGTTAAGGAAGAGGGTAGTGTGGGAGATGAGGAGATAGAGAGTAAGAAGGAAAGGAAGAGGAAGAGTAAGAGGAAGAGGAAGGGTGATTTGGCTGAGCACACTGAGAAGAGCGGAAGAGGAAGAGTGATTTGGCTGAGCACACTGAGAAGAGCAATGGGATAAAGAAGGAAAAGGCAGAGGTTGAGGAGAATGGGAGTGTGGTGGACAAAATTGAAATTAGAGAAGAAGAGGAAAAGAAGAAGAGGAAGAGGAAGGGTGGAGAGGTAGAGGTAAAGGAGGAGAGGGAGGAGGAAGAGAAGGATGGATTGGAGGAGGAGGGCCAAAGGAAGAGGAGGAGGAGAAAACAAGTGGATGATAATTGAGTGAAAAAAGGATGTTACGTCTTGTAATCGGATAATTGGGTATTTCAATTGTTGTTGGGAATGAAATTTACTGCTTTTCAAATATGTTTATGTGCTTTGAAATTTACATATTCAGCTTAGATTGTTTTGTTCTTCGAACTTTATAGATTGCTTGAGAAATTTTGGTTGCACTAGTTGTTATTTGTAAAGCAGAAACCAGAATGCTGACTGCTGATCATCATCCAGTGTGTTAAAAGCAGACTCTATATAATTCTAAAACTAGCTAGGTTTAGTGCTGCGGGTCTTCTTGGGCAGTTTTGGCCTGACCCTGACAGCAGTGGCTACTGACTTACATTTGGCTGGTCAATTCAGTGAACCTGCCAATGTGCTGTCTTTGCCTGTATGGGCTGTACACGTTTCCTGTTTAGTTGAGTGGTGAGCTTTCCTCTTTATTTTTCAAAATAAACCAGTTCTCGTGGCTCTGTTCCTGCGTTCTTATGATGATTATTATTGCTTTGTTTTTGGATTTTTCTGGCAATCTAACTTAAGACTTTTTTTTCTTATGTTAAGTTTTGAGTTGATCATATTGGATTATCGTTACAAGGAAATTGAATAATTTGGCTAACTACTAGATGCATTAGCCTTCAGTTGCTTGATTTATGTTTAGTTGCTGGGATAAAATGAGGAGAAAAAACTAAAGTTTAGTGCTTTCTTGAAAACAAAGTAAAATTCTGCACAAAGTTATTTCAATGGTGTTTCGCTGGTATTAAGGATATTGATAGTGAGCGTTCTGCTTAACAGGATTGCGACATTGGTTTGGTAATATGGGGAGAAATCAGGGTTTGAATCATGAAAGGGGCTTGCCTGGGAAATGGTGAGTTATTCCTTCGATGTATTGCAATGGTTTTGCGATTCTTGTGTTTGAATACGTTGGTATGTTTTAAAATTGATGAAGCAATGAAGGCTGTCTTTGATGGTGAAATTCCACATTTTGTTGTCTTCAAACGATGAATTGAATGGATTACCATACCATGTCCTTGTGGCTTCTAAGATTTCAATGATTGAAATGCAGTTGCGCTGAGCTGCTGATTTGAAGGTTCCAATTTACAGATTAGAACAAAAAAACATCGTTCGCTGCAGCAAGCTGGTCCGATTGCCTGATTTTATAGAATCCACAATGACTCCTCGAGGCGGTTTGAGACCGACTGCTTGATTGTTATTATATCGATTAACTAGAGGTTTTATTGACAACTCCAATGGCACTTATGCGATGATTTAGAGGTAGTATTTTTGTGCAGATGCTAGGATGTTTTTTAAAAGTATTCTCATTAATTTTTTTTTTAATTCTTTACATTACATATTAGAATTATTGAAAATGTTGAGAACTAGGTCTCACATTACACAAGCAAGAAGAGGCCTAGCAAACTAGGGCTGCCCAGGCGGCGAGAGCACTTGAGTGCTGAACCTCGTAATGTTGATGCTTCCTGGGACCACGCGTGGTGGATTAGATTTCGCTTAATGGCCAAGACTGTTCCATGGCCAGTTAATCATGCCATCCAACCAAGTGTTTTTCCAAAGAAACCAAGCAGTGAGCAAGATGTTATCGCCATCATCCTCTTCTAGACATGTGTAATCATTTCTTGCACAAACCACTCTTAAGCTACTAATCAATACATCCCATGATATCCAACAGGATGCTTTGTTGCCTCTAACACAAGAAATATAATGACTAATGAACTCGTTTTTTTTCACATTTACATCTTTTGAGTTCTTAGGTGGCTTCGGTAAACGTTTTTTTTCACATTTACATCTTCTTTTGAGTTCTTAGGTGGCTTCGGTAAACCCTAATACTTAAATGCCTTTCCAATGCTGTTCTTTTCAACCATTTTGGTAGCTGTTACTTTAAATACAACATGGCAAATTGCCATGGGCAAAAGAGCTTTGCCCGTCAGAGGCAAGAAGAGACGCAAAAGCACAAAAACCATGCCTCTCTTAACCCTGTGTTTGAAAAAACAAAGAATAAATTAAACACATCAGCAGATGAATAGCAAACCAGGTAGAGTAAATGATCAAAGATATACATGTCTCCTCCTTCGGCTTTGTGCAATGTACCAAGAGCGGGCCATCACGTAGCATGGCAAAAGAAAACCAGCGAATTGAAGAAGCGAAATCTGAAACTGAAAATGTGATATCTCTAAATTTAGCCATAAAACCACCTGATTTTTCAAGGATAGGGATGTTTGTGGAGTTATACATGCATGTTCACAAGTGTATCCGACCTATTAAGGGCAGCATAACTTACACCGAAGAATGATGACGTTTCTTGCACCATCCCTGAATCCCTTGTAACCATTAGAGCTTGGCGGAGTAGCAAGATTATAAGCAACTGCACATAATGTTGACCGAAATTAGCTTGAAAGCACATAAAAGAGCATCGATATACATAAGAATGTTGTTCAGAAACAGTTTGCTTACAATGAGAGCAACAGAACGAAGACAAGCAAGGCTGCTTGTATTAGTGACAGCATAATCCTCATACTCTGATTGCAGCAATTGATGTTCAAGAGCTAGAAGATGAGAATCATGCAGATCAATGTGGTGGCCCCATGCTTGCCTATTTGAGAAAGTAGAAACACACACAAAAAAAAAAAACATTTAGAAGAGATTTTACTAGAATACATAATATCTTCAGAAAAGATGTTGAAAGCAAAACAAACAAAAGGAGAGAAAATGTGGAAGCTGCATCGGTATATAGAAACTCAAAACATATTCTGCATAAAATTACAATAGAGCTCTATTCCTGATTACAACAGAGTTGGACCAAGTTACTTCCTCTTATGCAATCACAAACCATTATTAGCCTCAGAAACCGGTATTTTGGAAGAGAGCTTCACATGGATTCAGCATTTTCTATAATGGTAGTATCTAGGTTTTCCTAAAAATATCCTATAATTTCCCCTCTACTTTTCATTCTCTCTATCACATCTGCATGATGGAGAATCCAGTAGTCAGTTATTACCTTATATCAATTGCTATAACATCAGGATTGCTGCGGGCTGGTGGAAGGGAATAATTTGGTGAGAAAACCTGCCAACCAGAAAGCCCATTTTATACAAAATCATGCATCACAAAAATACCCTCTGGAAATGCACCTAGCATACAAAACTGCTGTAATAGCTTGCAGAACCCCTTGCCTGATTGCAGATTTCACAGGTAATGTCACCTTTTTTGTTGCACCATCTCTGAATGCACTTTCTATGAGCAAACTGTAAGTGAAACTAATAAAAATCAGTGGAAATGGCATACATGGCGGCCAGCAAAGACTGCTAAAAACTATAGCAAACCATAATTGGACCGTGCATTTGCACCATGCCAACATCTTGAATGCCAATGTTGATGATTAGCACTAGGGGAACTACACGCACACATTTAGAAGAGCAGCATTTACTGACAAGCACAAATGGGGATGCAGCCCATTTGCTAAAAATAAGAAAAAAAAAACAAACAGAATTCCATACTCTAAACCAGAGCAAGTTGCAATCTATCTAGAAATACAAGGCAACTCCTCTAGCCCAAAACCTCTCTTATTTTTCTCCGGCATGCTAGCCAAAATGCAGCTAGAGGACATAAGAAAAGAAAGAATCTTTAATCTAAACTTTGATTGTATACCCTTCCAAGCTAAAACCAGCCTTCAATTGGAAATCTTTATAAAGAAAGATACACATTATGAGCAACCCGCATCTAGAAGCATAGTATAATATAAAAACTCCATCAAATCCAAAATGCGTCAACTCTATCAAATTCTATGCATTTGTGTTAATCACATCAGGTGAAGAGCTTTAAGATAAAATTCCATTTGGTCCTTACTGCTGATGAACGTGGAAAATGCCTTTCCTTCCCCCTAGGTTGGTTTATTGCATACAAAAAGAAAAAATGTAAACAGCAACTTTTATGAAATACTGAACTTGTGGCACAAAATAGGAAACTTGTTAGAAAACCTACTGAAAAACAGGGAACTTTTAACAAAACAATATATGGTGACGGTGGATAAGATAACTGTTGTACACATTGAAAAGTGCTAGTCCCTTGATAAATTCTTTCAAACCAAAAAATTAAGCCCTTTCACACAAATCTATTCAAGCTGATAAGGAAATTCGGGTAAAATATACCTTAATATTCACATTTTGTACAGAGAAAATATTCAAAATGTGTTTGTTTTTGCGTTAAAAAAACACTTTTGAGAATTTTGTAATTTTTTTTTACTTCAAATTATTTTTTTTAAAATATTTTTTATTTAAAATACATTATTTTGATTCATTTCCAAGTTAAAATAACTTCAAGCAACCTCTACCAATAATCCCCAGTAACAACTGTAAACGTGAATAACTCTCAACTATTTGAGCCGAATTACAAAACATGGACTTCGCTTAAAAGCTCTTTATCAGTTTATCACCAAAACATGTCTTCCCTGTTAATCAAACAGTGTTTTATAAAATCAAAACCCACACAAAAAGAGAAGGTCAACTGTACAACAAACACACACCAAAATATGGACACTCATTAAATGCACACACCCACCAACACCTAAAATGTCCAATACACAATGGTAAACCACAAGTAGCTGATAACATGCATGAAAAAACCCCAACTTTGGAACTCAAAACATAACCGATTCTCAAAGCATCATCACGTTCAGAAAATTGAAGTTCAAATTTGGAAACTAAACCTATATACAACTCCCAGACGGGCAAGGACCTGAGAGTTGTGATGAAAAACAAAGTGACAGAAAAACCTCAATATCCAAGACGAGAGAAAGAGAGAGAGGGGGAGAGAGGGGGGGGGAGTAGAATGTCAAACTCAAAGACAATCAACAAAAACCTCAGAACCGAAGAAACCAACATCCCGAAAGCACACCATAAAACAGAAAGAACGCAGCTTTAAGCTTTAGAAGAAGGAAAACAAATAGAAAAATCCATTCAAAAAATCGAAATCCAGAAACATGTTAGCCAAAAAAAAATTAAAACCCACCACCAAAAATATTCAAAATATTCAAAATTCAGAAGAGAAAAGTAATGACCTTGAGGGTGCCATTACAAGAACAAGGAGCTTCCAAAGCAAGAACCTCATCTTCCTCTTGACATATCCTGCATTCAACCATCTCTACTTTCTTCAAAGAACATGAAGACCCTTCTTCGTTTCCTTTCACAGAACCAACACTCTCTTTCACATTACCATCCTTACTTGTTACTTCAACTCCAACAACATCACTACCATTTCTTTCTCTTTCTCCATTATTAACTGGCTCAAAACAACTTGAGGCCACTATGATTCTGTCTACACACACCATCAAATCATCAACCATCTCTCCCCACCCCTCTCTCTATAATGTGAAAGATGTTTTTATACTTTCTCTCTCTAGTTCTTCCTGGTTCGTGTCGCTCTCTCTCTCTCTCGAAGTGGAGGAAGATGGCATGAGAGAGGGGGAGTGGGAGAGTGGGGCTTTCAAAAGGTTAAGGTGGGTGCGCGGAATTTACGAAATGGACCTCGTCTCTAATGTTTGGCTGGACTTGAGTGGACTTGGTCGTGGAGTTTACTTACACTTTCGCCAGAAAATTTTTGCTAGTGCTCGCCTGACATGGAAGTACGTCACTGATCTTGACTGAAAACACAATATAAACAATTCTTTAAGAGGTAACGTTAAAATATCTTCCAAAATTACAGCTTAACAAACACCAAACTTCCATAAAAAAGAAAAGGAAAAAACCCAGGACAAATTTCTTATTCTGATTATGATAAATAATTATTTTATTAAATTATTCAGGATTGGTTTAGATAGTTTTTTTAATGATAAATAAACTTAGTTTTGAGTGAAAGATCTCGAATACTGTTAAAAATTATATCATAAGAAATTGCCTTTTGCATTGATCGAATTCTACTGGATGTTTGACTGATTGTAAACATCAATTGAAGCTTTGAGCGTTCAATTTTGTGTTTTTCCTTTTAACGAGCATGAGAGAGGTCGACTGAATGAGTGCTGATCAATGAACAATGAAATCTTGCCTCAATAACTAGTCATTAATAGCAATATTTAATCACATTAGACTGACAGTTGCTTAACATTTGATTCATAAGAGCGACCCAATGCAGTATTAAGAAAACACTTTAAATTTGAGATTAAGAGGTTTTTTCCGCCTGTGGTTTCAGGTTCGAGTCCTTGATTGTTTATATGATGGCCACTGAAGATTTATATGGTCGTTAACTTCAGGGCCCGTGGAATTAGTTGTGGTGCGCGCAAGCTGACCCGGAAATCTACATTAATCTAAAAAAAAGAAAACACTTTAAATTTATCATTTTGTTTTTATTATATTATTTTTATTTTTAGATATTTTTTATGAGTATTTTTATCAATTCAATTCAAAGGAGCGGCAAGCATGTGTGGAGGAGCGTGCATGCATGCCTAGGGAACGTTGACGACATGTTCTTAAGAAAACCCTATTATCTATATATTTGATCACAAGAATTCTCAAATCAATTTATAATTTTCTACTCTCCAAGGAATATATTTTTATCCATGGTTTTGGCCTCTTGCGCTTTACACTAATCTAAAATTGTAAGATATTTCTTTCCCGAATATGTATTTTTTTGGTGCATGAAAATACTTAAATAACATGTTTAGTAACTCAATTGAATTCAATTATAAAATTTTAATAAAATCTAATGCTTAGAATCCTTTTAGTTTTAAGAATTGAATTCCATTTGAAATTTAATATTTAAAAATACTACAAAAATAAACAATAAATCAACCCTTTTGATTTACAAATTCAAAAATATAAAATTTATTATTAAAACTAACCTTTTCAAAATGCCCACCTACCCTAAATATAAGAAATCTTAAAAAAAAAATGAAATGAAGATAACGAGGGTAATATTAGAAGCAAAGTGAATTGAATTTTATTTTTTTCAAATATTTGTAAATTGAATTTAAATCAAATATTATAATTGAATTCAATTATACTAAAGAATTGATCCAAAATTATTATTAATTTGTTAAATCCCTCTGGGTAAATGACAAAGAGGATACCAAAACCAAGAACTAAGGAATGTTTTCACATTTGATATTTTATGCCTGAGAGTAACTAAAGGATCACAGGACAAAAGGGTAATGCTAATTTGGTAGCCATAGCAATTCAAGATGATTGCTTGTTGCCTTCATATTGTTAGTAGTTTATGTGGTTGTTGTTCTTATTTTTTCCATTATCAATCTTGATTGAATCGTAAGTATGTATACTTTCTAAGTTATCATTTTAACTAGATTTTAAATCCAAGAAACAATTTGATATTTTTGTAGCTAATGTGAAGAAAAAAATAAAAAAAATAAATTATTTTAAAAGTATTTTTAAAACATAAAAATAAACAGGTTCTACCATGTAATATCTTTATCTATTTTGTTTCGGCAGTATTTTATACTTTTAATGCAAGTCTATGTTTAATATTATGAGAAGAAAATATGATTGATTTTTAAAGATTTTTTTTAAATATTTTTATATTTTAAAAAAATATTTTTAATATTAACATATTAATAAATCCGAAAACACTAAAAAAAATTAATTTAATATATTAACACTAAAAAAGATTAATTTGATATATTTTCAAAACAAATATATTTTCAAAATACACTAAAATACAGATGGAAATGCAATACAGTCACTCAAACAGATAGAGAAATGTGGATGGTTTATACTTTATATGGTTTAGCGTAAAGAAGGCCACCCTACGAGCCATCTCTGTCAATGCTAATGAGCATCCAGGCAGGCAGCACTGCCATCGTTTGATTAAAAAAAAAAAAAAAAAACGAAAAGCATTGACATGGATGTTTTACATTATATTTTAACATGTCTTTTTTTTTAATTTAATTTTTAATTATTTTTTTAGTTTTTTTAAATGCCAATATGAAAATTTATTATTATTTTCATATAAAAAGTATTTAGAAAATAACAAGGCAACTCCAATTTGAACTTTAAGTTTTCGTGGTTTCTACAATTTAAGTAATTGCTGTTGATGCTATTATTATTATTATTATTATTGAATTTTAATTTCCAACTATTTATTAGGGGGGTTATAGATGATTAAAGTGCTTAAAAGGCCCATCTCATTTTAATTACCGAGTTGATTAGTTATGTGCCTTTGTGATTTCAGGGCTGTTTTGTAATTTTGTTTTCGGCATTTAATTTTTCAATTTAAAAAATCATTGCACGGATTGAGTTTATATAGATACAACTTTTTATTTTTTTTAATTATCATGAATATTCAGATTAGTATCTAGATTACCGGCTTATATATATATATATCTTAATTAATTTTATATATTTTAAAATTAATAATTATATAAAATTTTAACGATTTTTAAATAATTTAAATTTATAATTATCAAAAAATAAATTTAAAATCTCACCATTTAAAGCATCTCGTAATTACATATGACTAGTTCATAAGATAATTTTTCCTTCATGTTAGCCTTCTTCCCTCCTTTATCCACGGAAGCAACCGTTTGATGGTCTACAAATGATGGGTTTTTAAATTAAAAAACAAAAACTAAAAATCATCGGGTTTTCAATCAACACTAGACTCCGTTGCATTGTACAATGTAGATTAAAACAATATAAAGATGATTTTATCCTTATAAAAAAAACTAGCAAAGCTTGTTCCATGGGGTGATTTGATTGTTTCAACGGGATCCATTGTATATTATTATATTGAATGGAAACAAATTAATATGTTTATATTTTTTAAACAAAACCTTTTTTTTTGTATAAAATATATAATACACAAACTTTTAGTACTTTTTATTGATATATAGGAATGATTCTCCAACATAGAAATTATATTATTTTTATATGTTTGTTTTTATATTTTAAAAAATTTTAATTTTTTTTATTTATTTCAAATTAATATGATTTTACTGTTTATTTTGATATGCTAATATTAAAAATAATTTTTTAAAAAATAAAAAATATCATTATTATATATTTTAATACAAAAAATTATTTAAAAAAAAACTATAATCACAATGTAAAACAATTTGATTGACTCTTCAATCTTCAATAAAGTTTTGTTTCCTTATAGCTGTAAAAATAAAAGATTAAAACCATATTTTTTTTATCCGTTTTTCATTTAACAAATCAACATAGGAGATGCCCTAGGAGAAATGGTATTATCATATTTTGTTTATTTTGGCACTTCCCATATGCCCTAAGAGATAGCTAGAGCTCCATTCTGTATTTTATTGAGGTAGTTTGATCTCCATTATCATGACATGATGAAAATTATATATGCATAGATTTCTTTGAGATTTCACTTTCCTAGAATTTATAATGCTTTCATCAAACCAAACAACAGAGTTGATGGAATACAGAGATGCAACTATGTCTGAAGAACAAGCTGCTCGTCTACAGGATAAAACTAACATAGACGACAACCACTGACAGAAATTACACACTTGTACAAGTTACATAAACAGTTCCTGCAAGGCCATTGTTGGAGTGGACTTGCTCTGTAAGCATCAGTGATGGATCATCCTGAGAGAAATCATCAAGGCTATAATTCTGTATGCATCATTGACGGGTAATCCTGAGAGAAATCATCAAGGCTATAATCCTGTTGATCACAAGCAGGGAATGATTGCAGATGTGGACTTGCTCTGTATGCATCAGTGACGGGTCATCCTGAGAGAAATCATCAAGGCTATAATCCTGTTGATCATAAGCAGGGACCGATTTCAGATGTGGTAGTATTCCTGGGTCTGCCTGCAGAGAGAATCAAGAAATCAAGCATTAGGCTTTTATCAAAGATTGAAAAGTACCCATGAGACTCCACTCTCGAGTCTCTACTGATCTTCTCGAGTTGTAAAATCAGAAAGATGGTAGACAGAAGCTGCAGAAGTCTTTGGGCAATATGTTCCACCATTATCACGGGCTCATTTTTCAGTCTCTGTATTGATTTTCAAGATGACATTATTGTTTTTGATGAGGAGACTTCTAAGACGATGATTATAACAAATTTAACCACCTACCTCATCTTTAATATTGACAGTTATATCATTATAGGTTGAAAGATTGCTCTTATCACTAGTCATCCAGTTTTCAAAATCGGAACCTTCATCATATACTGCAGTGCTGTCGTCCTTTTTCTTCGTACGGTAGTTGCTTGTTTATGCGGATGGATTTTATGCTTCTGAAGTTTTTTTTTTTTTTTCTTTTTTAATTAATGTTTCTTTTTATTTTTTTGGATTTTTTTAATGTTATGATATTTAAAATAAAAAAATATTATTATTTTATTATATTAAAAATAATATTTAAAAAAAATAATATTTATCAGGCATAGCAAACAAACAAACAAACATGTTATTTGCTCCGCAAATAACATCTCTCAAGTTTTCTTTTTAAAAAAATTTATTAAGAATACAGGTCTCTCTGAACCAAACTACATGCCT